GAAGTGGAGTTTTATTCATCTGGTTGCATGTGAGTCTTACTCTCCTACACGAACACTGTGCGTGCCTCAGTTTCCCTGTGTGCTGCACCAATACTTAGGTGGTGGGAATTGGGGGTGGGATTTTGCTGAGGCCCAGGTGTGTCGGTGTGACGAACTGGGACTGTTCTTACTGTGGTCTGTGAAGGCTGACAGGGGAGTGTGGCTAGGATGGTCTGCACTGGGGGATGGGAGACTGACCCATGGAGAATACCTGAGCGTGTAACATGAGAACCCAGGAAGGGGTTAGAGGCCAGGTGACACCTTTCCCCGGGAAACTGAACAAAGGGGAGAGGGAGTTTCAGAGCTGGCTGGTGACATGGCTGGGAGGCAGACGGGGCTCTGACCTCGCAAGGGGGCTGGGGCGCCCTGAGACCCCAAGATGGACCCAACTGAGGGGGATCCTGTGGTCTGTGCCTGCAAGACCCGTCTTGGACTGTGTCCCTGTCGTCTAAATAAACCTTCTGCTTTACTGGCTGGCTGAGAGTCATGGTGAATCGCAGGGGGCCGGGGGTGCAGGGCCCTGAGTCCCCCCATACTCCGTGACAGTAACAAAATCTGCCCCCATCGGGATGTATTTTTCCCCTGTCCGAGTTGCCTTGCTGAGGGGCCCCACCATGTCCACGGCCACTTTCTGGAAAGGCTCTTCTCTGATGGGCAAAGGTCTCAGCTGCCTCCAGATCCCCCACGACTCGACTTCCCCTGGGGGAGCCCATTCCCGGTACAGGAATCTCTCCCGGCGGCCTTCCCCACGGGGTTTCACCGCGACAAGTTCCCTCAGCTTCTCCACGGAGGGATCCTTCCGCGGCTCGGCCTGGGGACCTGCTCCCGCTCAGTGACTGGGTCTGAGGCCGCAGCCCCGCCAAGTCCTGTCCCCAGTGGCTCCTTTCCCGCTGGGGTAGGGACCGGTGCCCCCGGCAGGGCACTGCCCCCGGTGTCAGGGCAGAGCGCCCTTCGCCGGCTCTGGCTACGGGTCATGACTAGGGCGCTCTGGGGGCCTCCCTCTGTTTCTCCAGCCAGCTCTAAACCGAAACCCTCCAGCCCCTCCTCTGGCCTTTGTCTCTTTTCCCGGGCCCAAGGTGTCACCTGGCCACACCCCCCTCCTGGGTCTCAGGTCACACAGGTGCACACAGCTGGGCGGCCTCACCCGCCCTGAGGGCCTCAGCAAAAGCCCACCCCCAATTCCCACCAGCTACGTATTGGTGCAGCACACAGGGAAACTGAGGCACACACACACTTACTGTAGGACAGTAAGACTCACATGCAACATAAGATGAATAAAACCCCACTTTGTCACAACAGGTTGAGGATGGGGGTGTAGAGGGGTGGGGATACGGGGAGATGGGGCGGGGCGGGGGTGAGAATGTGGGAATTAAGGGCACAGAGTGGGGGTGCGGGGTCGGCCTGTGGGGAGTGGGAGGGAACACGAGGAGGGGGACGGGCCACGGGGGTGCAGGGGAATAGGGTTGTAGGGGTGGGGGGCCAGGGAACACCAGGAGGGGGATGGGCCACGGGGGTACAGGGGGATGGGGTGCAAGTGTGGGGCTGGGAGAGGAGGGACTCACCCAAAGAGCTCAAGCTCCTCCTCCGGCAGGGGCAGCCCCTGGGCGCAGCGGCAGCAGCAGGGCCCCCCCGCGGGCACCAGGACGGGCCGCGCCAGCAGCAGGAGGTCGGGCAGCTCCAGGCGGGGGCTGGTGGCAGCGATGCCCAGGGTCACCCGGCTGGCCACGTCTCCGCTCTTGGTCACCTGTGGGGAGTCAGGGAGAGCTGAGGCAGACGGGGGTGTGGAGGGCAGAGGAGAAGCAGGGCTGGGGGACGTGGGGTTGGAGATGGGGTCAGGGCACGTAGGATGGGTCATGGGGGATGGGCGCCTGGCTGGGGGCAGGACCAAGGGGACGGTGGCAGGGTTGGGGGATGGGAGCCTGGGGGACAGGGCTCAGGGTACGGAGTCTGGGCTGGGGGATGGGTGCCTGGGGGGCAGGGCTCAGGGTACGGGGTCTGGGCTG